TATTAATGAGTTTTTTGGGTTCATTGAGAACATGGTTGTTGTTCAATAATAAAATTATTCCTCAAAAATACAACTTGCCTAATAATTCTGCACTCCCTGTATACACGAATTAATGTTGAGTAAGAAAATATTCTGCCAATTACTTTGCAACAACAACAAATTACTAGGGTCTTTGAGGGACAGTCTGACTTGTTTTCAAAAAGAAACTGTGAGGTAGATTTGATAATAGGAGGGGAAAGTTTACATTAAGAGTAAGGACAGAGTCAATCCACAATGCTATGTCTTAAAAAAAATCACCTTAACTGCTGGAAGCTGGAAAATTAACATGAATGCCACTCTGTGAGTCCATCCTGAATTTGCAAGATATGTGAAGACAGTGCAAGGGGTACTGTGAGACCTGCATTCAAATGTGACACACAAGATTTCTGCACTGGCTTTTTAATACAATCAACAAATTTACTGATGAATTTTTAAATTATCTGAAAGCATAGTTCTATTCTAGTTCAGCTAGGCATCTTTAGTGTTAATGCTCATATTCAATTATGTTTTAAAGCTGTGTTACTGAAAAGAGCTTCAGAAATGAAGTTAAAAATGACATAAAGTGTAAGAGTAACAGTGCAATGTGCTCAGCATCACATATGGGAGAAGAAAAGTTGTAATCAGGAGTAACAGTCTGACAGCCTGTGTGCTCCCTGATTAAAACAATATTATTTGCTCTGTACACCATATTTGCACACATTTTGAAATCACATGCAATGCTTTTGAAGACCGTTTGAGGACTTCAACACAACTTTTTATATATATAAAACAAATCTGAATAACAGAACAGATTTTAACTATAGCTGACTTAAAATTGTGATTAATTATACTTTACAAAACTAGTGATTTATGACTCCCCCCGTTAATAAAAAAAACCCAAAAAAACCCAAAACGTAAAAGCGTAAATCCTAGTATCTGTTTGTGACTGCTGTTTAGTGCTGAGAAGGCTTAGCTGTATTTGTAAATTACAATGATGTAAGAAAAATTTGCGAAAAGAATTATCAGCAAAGCTGTAAGCTGCCAAACAAAACCACCAAGCTAAAAGAAAACAACACAAATAGAGAAACTGATATTAGAGTCACACTAGGAAAAACAGTAGTTGGACGCCACAGCACAACCAAAATTAGATCCTTCAGCTGTTCAAAATCCCACTAGGCTGGCCGACATGATAAATGATGGGCAGGGCTGTGAGTACTCAGACTGTGTTTTTTTGGAACACAATATGGACAAGATCTTGGAGAAGTTCATGGCTCTGCAATATGGATAACATCTTGAAGAAGAACAACGGGAATTGAGAAACCTGGTGACCAGTGATGGACATTAGACTACTGTAAAATTGGAAGCAGTTTGTTCGCACTAACCAAATCAACTACCATCTTCATCTCATGTGCCCCCCCCTGGCGCCAGCTGGATGCTCAAGGCAAAAGCTGACAGGAATAACAAATTCTCCTTTTTTTCTCTTCGTCTTTCCTCATGTTGTGCATTTTCCATTGTTATACCCAACCTGTCTTCCACATATGATGTTTGTGTAATGTATGTATGGTCGGAAGGGTAAGATGGCTCTGGCAAAGGTCGGCAGCCTTAACCCAATTTCCTTTGGGGTCAACCTTCAGGATCAATAAAGTTTTATTGAATTGAATTGAAAATGAATTGAATTGGTAATGCCACTGTGGTTATGTCTTTGTTATAGTCTACAGCCTTGAAAAATTCTCAACTGAAATGTAGAATTTGTATGTTTAAACACACAGGTAGACACAAATGCTTTGTGAGAACATGCCCTGTCTCAACATGGTATGACTCAAAGAATATTTAACTACTTGCAGCAATGAACCAGTACAGGTTTCTGTTTCCCCATTTTATCTTATCTTTGGCAAGCCAACAAGGTGCAGCGACTTGGTAAGATAAAGCTGGGTTCAAATATAAGGAATAGTTTTAGGAATTTTTATCTCAGACCATTCTCATAGTTTGTACTCACCCTGACAGCACACCTAGCACCAGGTTGAGCATGAAGAAAGAGCCGATGATGATGAGAGGGATGAAGTACAGCCAGTTCCACATGTTCCCTGAGGCATCATTGGCCTGAACACATAAACACATAGAAACAAAGACTAAAACTGTAAATACCACTCTGTGATTGTACTTATGGGATAAGACTGATTTATGCATGTTTTTATGTCTGCTCTGTGTGTATTTTTCTTCATTTCAAGCAATCTTCTAAAAATACTAACACCAACCAATATGTTTGTTCATCTGTTAGTATTGACAGGTTTCTATGGGCTCAAATTGTGGTCATAAATATTTTATACTTGTAAATCAAATGCGTAGTTGTGAACTGAGTTTTGTAACCCTGTAAACCAAAATGTGTGAAAGTTTTCCGTTTGCTTTGTATCTATAACCAGACCTCAATGAAAAGAATTTGTAACTCATGTTCCCAGTGAAGAAGTAGGAGCCTACCAGTCAAAAGTTTTAGAACATCCCAATTTTTCCAAGTCCCTTGAATAGGTTGACAAAGGTAAGTGGTGAACTGCCAGAGGTCAAAAAAAAAGAAAGAAAAGGTAAGCTCACCCAAAACTGAAAAATAATGTACATTTCAAATTATACAAAAATGCTTTTTTTTCCCAACACAACACAAATTGGGTTAACAATTTAAAACTGTTCTGCAGCAATGGAGGTTGATCAAGCTGTGAATGCTGGCTCTAATAATTCCTACAGGTGTTCCAACTTTTCTGGATTACTTACAACCTGTCTGCATAAAAGTGTTGCATCAGTTGAACAGTATTGTAGGGCTGCACAATTAATCATTAGAAAATCGCAATCTCAATTCATACCTATGTGTGATCACATTTCTAAATGACAACAATAACAAAAAAAAAAAGTGACGATTGTACGGCATTTTGATCCGGGACATAATCTGCAAGAAAACAAGCGCTCACTCTTCCTGCTCAACAAATGACAAGGGCGGAGCCTTATACCACGTGATTCAGAAGCCAGCTGGCAGGAAAAAACAACGGAGAGCACGTGAGAGAAACTGCCTGAGGGTAGAAAACACAGTGAGCGCAGAGGAAAAGCTCACTGATGGCAGTGAGAATGAAAACCCAACTGTAAAATTAATTCCAAGAAAAGGTTCTCATTCCCCTGTGTGGAAGTTTTTTGGTTTTATAGAAGACAATGAGAGTCAAAATTATATCATATCAAGCAGCGGGTCACTGTTTGCTGAACTTAAAACAAGGAAGACGGTGTATGGCGGACTTCTCTGAGGAGTTTTGGACACTGGCTGAGGAGACTGGATGGGGGCAGCCCACGTTGATAAGTACTTTATTAAACTGTCATGGTCCTGGGTCATTTTGACCCAGTGTTCTTAGTTTTCCTGTAGTTTTGTATTTTGTTCCTTATGTCCATTGGATTGTTTGGTTTGGTATTTGGATTCCCCCTGTGTCCATGCTTTTATTGTGGTGTTTGTTCTGGTACCGTGTTCCCGTCCTTTGTGTTCTGTGTTCTCGTCATCCCCTCGTATTCATCCTTGTTCTCTGCCTCTCTCTCTCTGTGCTCATCTCTGTGTACTGTGTTGTGTTTAAGGTCCACATCTTGGTGTCAGTATTTTCAGTTTCGTGTCCTCCCTGCTCGGTCATGAGTAATTGTCTTCAGCTGTGTTCCCCGTGTGTTCCCACTTCCCTCGTTACCTTCTTGTATTTATGTCAGAGTGTCCCTTTGTTCTGTGTTGCGTCGTCCCTCTAGGTTGTGTGCATTTCCCGTGTCTTCCCAGCGCCTCAGCTTTAGTTGCTCCCAGTATAGTTTTTGTATGACTTCTTATCAGAGGTGTGGACTCGAGTCACATGACTTGGACTCGAGTCAGACTCGAGTCACATGACTTGGACTCGAGTCAGACTCGAGTCATTAATTTTATGACTTTAGACTTGACTTGAAAAAATGTTCTAAGACTTGTGACTTGACTTGGACTTTTACACCAATGACCTGGGA